AAATAAATGGGGCCTCAGAATACTGAAATCTGTATTTTTTTGTCATCTTTTTTTCCTTCTAATTTGTTATTATTTACATTGCTTTTAAAATCGTTCTGTGTGACACGATAAAAATGGCGAAATCGTGTTGGTGAACACAAATCAATATATTAATTTCCATGAGACTGTGTTGGGCACACACACCAGACTCTAGTTTCTAGAATTGCAACCGCACTGTTGGGTCCTGTTTTGTGCAAACATTATACTTCTCACATGAAACTTCTTCTAAATAAACAGATATTGTTTTTTCTGATAAATAATCCATTACAAGTAAACATCTGCACTTCACAGGAATAGTCACAGTGTTGAATGATGAGAAAGCTAATCCTGTTAAATATGAAGCTAACACCAGTTTAGTTTAGCACAAACATCAGACACAAGGAGGAACAGCTAGCTCAGGCTAAGATACATCAGCATGTAAAATATATTCCATTAGGAATAGTCATTGTCTTGTGGAGTGATGAAAATATGAATGGCAATGTCTGTTCAATATTAAGCTACAGCTAGCAGCTGGTTAGCTTAGCACAAGAAACAAGGGGAAACAGCTAGCCTGGCTCAGTTCAGACGGTAACCGTTATATTTAAAATATATATATATATCGATCTTGTGTCGATAATACACAAATTGTAATGAAGATATAGGGTACTACTCATACTTCGGTGGGAGAACATTTTCAACCTCAACACGCTCACAACTGTAGCATATGCTGAGGCCTACTACCATTGTGCTCATGCAATTTGAACTAATGTAACTTTTCAAACGTAATACTTTAGACCTCTCCAATAGTGATACAACTCAAGTAATATGATTCTGGTTAATATCATTTTGGTTTGCCTTTATATTCTAGTTGCTTTGTAAGCAGATGTCTCACTAGCTTTATTTGTTAACTCTGTCGCTGTTCTTAATAAAAACCAAACACTGCTGTCATGTTTTCTCAATGAAGCTAGGCTGGGTTTAGTGTAACTTGATGTTGTGTACTGATTTGATTGTGGAAAGCTAATTGTCTGGTGGATCTCTTTCGCATCTCTTTAGTATGTGAAAAACCTCCAAAAATGTTTGGCAAGAAATATTTGGGGAAATAACAGCAAGCGCAGGGTGAGTCAGACCAGGAAACAAAAAAACATGTATTTCACCGCAGTGCTGACTCACATAATTATTAATGGAACATTTTATATTTTATGAGGGTAAACAAATAATTTTTGCAAATGTTTAACGAGTTTCTTCTTTAACCTTTGACTGAAACCTGGCCAGTTATATGTCTTATACAATCATTGGGATGTTTTATAAACTCAATTGAAAGACTCACAAATATAAATGTGAGCTCTAATACTTCTGCACACATTTACTACTCGAACATTCAATATAGCATGTTTTAAGATTGTGTCTATAAAAAGCAAAAGGGGAAAGTGGGTTGAATACATTAAACAATGCCTTCAACAACACTAGTGATAACTGCAAAAACAAGTCGATATATGAAGACTGCTGTGGAGTCAAACTGTACTTAGAGAAGTCCATGGAGGAAGTAGAGCACAGCTTCTTTGCACGCAACATACCGCCTAGAAAACCACATCCTCCATCGAGTGTAAAACAGGCAGGTTGGATGCAGACACAAAGGATTGCAGTCTTTGTCTCCTGTGGCAACACACACACACACACACACACACACACACACACACACACACACACACACACACACACACACACACACACACACACACACACACACACACACACACACACACACACACACACACACACACACACACACACACACACACACACACACACACACCAATAAACCTTCTATAGCTTTCAAACACACAAAAGGACAGAACCTGCATATGGAGGCCTGTGGTGAGGAAATGTAAATATGAACAGTCCCCTTGAATAGGCAGGAAACCTCTCGACATAATTAAAATAAGCAATAATAATAACGGTTGTTGTATTGGGTACCTTTCTATGACCCCTTTCTATAATGTATATAAGTATAGATTTAAAAATGATGGTTAAAAACATTCATTTATTTCAATAATGCTTTTTAAGATCACAAATGATAAAGCCTTTTAAAATGACTAATGAGATAAGTATGTCATAATACTTGTGGGGGAAACTTCTGAAGCAATTGGAAACAGGACTCAGAGAGACACGAGGAGAGCTGGAGCTTTGATGGCAAACATTGACGGTTTATTTGGAGCTTCGGCCGGAGAATACACAAGACATGTCACGAGTTGACACAGCGGTTGCCAAACCAATTCTGAAGAACTCTTTCTGTAGCTCGAGGTTTTAACTAGTTCGGAGTGTAATAATCAACATACTTCATCAGTGAGACTAAACATTATGGACCCTGAATCTAACTAGAGCTCTCGTCCATAGAAAAAAACACAAAACACAGAAAAACATAGTGCAAGTAAATAGTAAATACAAAAAGAAAAATAGTTTGAAAAAGTGAAATAAGAGTCTATATGCAAGTTATTGGAATGATATATTAGAGAAATAGATAAATAATTACTAAGTAGCAGATGAATGTTATGGATGTTGTTTCAACAGTTCAAGTGTTTAACAGATGTTACACTCCATTACATTTAGCTGACGCTTTTATCCAAAGCGACTTACAATAAGTGCATTCGACCAAGAAGATACAAACTTGAAGAAAACAGAATCATATAAGTACATCAGGTTTCATAGAGCCAAACATTTCAAGTGCTATTCAACTGGCCATTTTCTTAATCTCTTTCATTTTTTGTAAAGCACTTTGAATTGCCTTGTGTTGAAAAGTGCTATATAAATAAACTTGCCTTGCCTTGCCTTGCCTTGGCTTTAGATAAGCCAGTCCTTTATTAGTATATAAGTGCTTTGTTAGCAGTTCTTTGTTAGTAATTCTATCACTCGAAGTGGAGTCGAAAGAGATGAGTTTTTAGTCGGATGGCACATGCAGGTAGACCAGCCAGGAGGGAGTTGCAGTAGTCTAGGCGTGAGATGACGAGAGCCTGGACCAGAACCTGCGTCGCTTTCTGGGTCAGATGGGGACGTATGTTCCTGATGTTGTAAAGCGTGTATCTGCAGCAGCGTTGTAGCAGCTATGTTTGCAGTGAAGGACAGATGTTGTTTCAGCAGTTGAGGTGTTTAACAGTCTTATTGCCTGTGGGATGAAACTGTCCCTGAATCTGGTGGTGTTAGTCCGGATGCTGCGGTAACGCCTGCCAGACGGCAGCAGACTTAACAGTTTGTGGTGATGGGGGTCTTTTATAATCCGGAGGGATTTCTTCCTGAGCCGCTGGGAGTAAAGGTCCTCCATGGATGGCAGCTCCGTCCTGGTGATGTTCTGTGCAGTTTTCACGACCCTCTGTAAAGCCTTACGGTGCAGCTGCTGTACCAGGCCGTGATGCAGCCAGTCAGGATACTCTCTATGGTGCACCTGTAGAAGGTCAGGATACTCTCTATGGTGCACCTGTAGAAGTTGCAGAGTATCCTGGAGTCCATTTTGAACCTCCTCAGCCTGCGGAGGAAGAAGAGCCGCTGTCGAGCTTTTTTGGTGATGGTGGTGGTGTGAAGAGTCCATGTCAGGTCCTCAGTGATGTGGACACAGAGGAACCTGAAGCTGCTGACTCTCTCCACCGTAGTCCCATTGATGGTGATGGGGGCGTGTCCCTCTCTCTGCCGCTTCCTGTAATCCACTATAGAGAGGTGTAGTCCCTCCCTTTCCGATGGACCTCCATGAGACCTTATATCGGAAAAATTATGTATTGAAGTCAATGGCGAGAGAAAAGTTATCTTTCGATCCCGTTTGAATCATGCCACGAATTACCCACACTGCCTGGGGTCTGCCGGTCAGGAAGTTCAGGATCCAGTCACAGAGGGCGCTGTTGAGCCCGAGCTCTCTGAGCTTGATGGCCAGCTTGGAGGGCATAATGGTGTTAAAGGCTGAACTGTAATCAATGAACAGCATTCTCACATATGTGTTCCTCTGGTCCAGGTGTGAGAGGGCAGTGTGGATGGTGTGGGCTATGGCGTCGTCTGTGGACCTGTTTGCTCTGTAGGCAAACTGCAGGGGGTCCAGAGAGTCAGGGAGGGAGGAGGTGATGAAGGTTTAGACTAACCGCTCAAAGCACTTCATGATGATGAAGGTGAGTGCTACTGGCCGGTAGTCGTTGAGGCTGGTGATTTTTGTCTTTTTGGGGACAGGAACGATGGTGGAGTGTTTTAAACATGAGGGGACTGTTAGGGAATAATTTGCCTAGGTATTCAACCTTTGACACAGTTCATCATTTTCTCCTCTCACTGTCTCCTTTCCCATGGCATAGGTCTACGGCCTTGGGTATTGCTACTATCTCTTTTAAGGAGGAGCAGCTTGGGCGCATTGTTGTTGCCAGTCTATGACAGAGCACAAGCCGCCATGAGGTAGTTTCCTGTTCAGGGACGTAGGTTCCCTGGCGCGCATTCTTTTCTATGGACGAGAGCTCTAGTTAGATTCAGGGTCCATAATGTTTAGTCTCACTGAGGAAGTATGTTGATTATTACACTCTGAACTAGTTAAAACCTCGAGCTACAGAAAGAGTTCTTCAGAATTGGTTTGGCAACCGCTGTGTCAACTGGTGACACACCACCTGTCTTGTCAACTCTCCGGCCGAAACTCCAAATAAACCATCAGTGTTTGACATCAAAGCTCCAACTCTCCTCGTGTCTCTGAGTCCGGACTCTCCATTGCTACAGAAGTTTCCCCCACAGGGACTACAGACTGCAGCAGGGACCTGTTGAAGATGTCTGTGAACACCTCTGCCAGCTGAACTGCACACACTCTTACCTCATTCACACCAACGCAATGACAGGACAGGAAGCTGCCAGTAGTTCTGGTAACACTACCCCCCCCCCCCCCTTCCCTGACAGCATGGCAACATCCAAACAGATGTTGGTGAAAGCAGGCTTAACATATCTCCGGAGAGTAACTCAGAATCACTGTGATAGACAGATAAAAATACTCTTTATTCACATTCACACAATATATAAATATCAGTTCGGAAGAGATACAAAATGAAATGCTACATTTATACTGTATGAAACATCACAGTAGATCATTTACAGACTAAATAGTGGTCATCGTAACTCATTGACAGATTTAACGCCAACAGGACAGATTCAATTAGATGTTTATTACATGTACGCTGACACCAGTGTAAACAGCCTTTCTCTCTGACGTCTCCTTGGCAACAAAGCTTCATGTCTCCTCGACTCCCCTCTAAAAATGGAAAAGAAAAAATGTTATCATGCTTCAGCCTGCTTGTGTTGCAGCACTGCTCCACTACCACAGAACTGAATAATAGGATATTATAATTTCCTGAAGATCAGGTATTTGTCAAAGGCTAAGTATTCCATTAAAATAAATAATACAGGAAATCTTCACATTGTAGAGTTGAAATAAAAAGTTGTTTTGTATTTTTGCTTAAAATGATTAAACAAATAATTACCAAAATATTTGCAAATCATATCGATAAACTAATCGTTTAACCAGTCAAGAAAAGAAAAGGTGAACAAGAGACAGAAAGAGGTTCAAAGGGAACAGCAGAGAAAGACAGACACGAAGTAAACACTGAAGGGGATGACAGAAGAAGACAGACAGACAGACAGAAAGTAAACACTAGCAGAACAGCAGAAGAAGACAGACAGACTGGGGCCGTTTCTCAATCTCGAGGATTCTGGCTTCCAAGCCAATATTTCAAGGATGCTACGTCATCGAGTGCCGCCGAAGGACTGTTCCAATCTCCAGCATACTTGGAATTCCACCGAGGCCGCGTCCTTGGTTTGGGGGAAATTTCGAGGCTGCACATGGGTAGACTTCGCGTCCTTAAAATCCCCACAATGCTTTGCGCACGGACTCATTTCAAAAACCCTTGCGGAGAATGGCTGAACCGACGCAGCACACATTTAAATGTAAGTATGTAGTGGCGTAGAACATGTGTTGGTAAATATGTTACTTTGTTACATTTGTTATCACCAAAAATGTGTTCCGTGAAAGTAAAGCAAGTTCATAATTAGATAGACATCGTGAGGTATTTATTTTCGGTACAGTTTATGTTGAAACCGTTAGAGAGAGTGGCACACTTGTTAGCCTGTTCCATTCTTCTTCGTTTTCCGTAGCCGTGGCTTGGAAGTATACTTGCTTCGTTTCTGAAGGAAGTGACTTGGAAGTACGCGACTACCAAGCCAGCATCCTCGCGATTGAGAAACACCCAGAAAGTAAACACTAAAGGGAACGACAGAAGAAGACAGACAGGAAGTAAACACTAACGGGAACAGCAGAAGAAGACAGACAAGAAGTAAACACTAACGGGAACAGCAGAAGAAGACAGACAGGAAGTAAACACTAACGGGAACAGCAGAAGAAGACAGACAGGAAGTAAACACTAACGGGAACAGCAGAAGAAGACAGACAGGAAGTCAACTCAATAGGGAACAACAGAAGAAGACAGACAGGAAGTTAACACTGAAGTGTAATCAGCTGGATAATGTGTTGAAAGTCATCCTCTGTATATCTCAGACAGGAGGAGTTGTTACCTGCAGTGTGAGGCTGCTCTGTGACGGCCCTGTGGAGCTCCATAAAGACGCGTCCTCCTGCATGGCTAACGTCTTGTTAACAAACCTCAGCATCCCTGTCAGTGAACTCATGTCCCCCTCCACCTCCTCCCCCACCAGGGTGTTTACAGACTCCCTCCTGGACTCACTGATCTGCTCCTCGTCGTCTCCCAGCTGCATGGAGGGAGCTTCTGTGTCTCTTCCATGTTCTTGCGTTTCCACCCTGTAAGTAAGAGGGTTGAAGGAGAGGTCAGAGGTCACTGTGGTCTCCACGGCGCTGAGACCCTGCCAGCTGTGGTCCACCGTGTTAGGGAAAGAGGAGCCGGAGGGGGGGGACTCCCATGGATGCTTGCTCAGAGCCTCCTTCAGGGTTTCCTTCAGGCTCAGGGGGAGATCCAGGGAGGAGTCCACGCTGTTGCTCAGCCAGTCGCATGATTGGATGGAGAGACGAGGGGCGGAGGCTGGAGGAAGGTAGGTGTGAGGCGGGGGTGTTAAGCGAGGGCGAGGCAAGTGAGCATGCTCAGGAGAGGGGAGGGTTGCTGGAGTCTTATGGGGGGAGGAGTTCTCTGAGGAGTGTGTGACTGTGCTCAGAGCGGCGAGGGAGGGGGTGTACAGGTGGTTCTGCCGCTCAGCAGCTCGCTCCAGGCTGGAGATCCTGGCCTGGAGACGGGTCACCTCAGACTCCTGCAGCCAGACCAGAACACAAGGATTATTTGAGGGTCTCCACAGCTTCTTAAACATCACATTCAAGGTTTTATGAAGGTTTTTCCAGGCCCTATTTTCTCAAAGTGAAGGAGCAAACAGTATAGTTTGAGACATGGAGCAAAGTTAATGACGTCCCTTTGTCGCAACAGGTGGCGCATGAGAAAATTACACAAATGTGGGAGATACTTGCAGAAGGCGTACAAAATAATTAAAGAATTTAGCTTGTTATTATTATTTTCTTAGAGTTTTTATAATCTTTTAATGTTGTTTTATAATGTGCTTCTGTTGCACTGTGTCATAATGCGTTCAATGTATTGCTAATGCTACTCTCAGACTCCTGCAGGTAGACCAGAACCGGTTTGTTCAGGGTTTTTCTTAAACATCAAATATTTCAAATACTTTTCAGGCCCAACTCACTGTAATTCAAAGATGGAGACACGAAAGAATGTTAATTCCTGTCACGTGTTTTCTTTGCAGGTGGCCGCATGAAAAGAAATTCTCGAGTTATGTGGGAACCATGTTTTTTTCTGAATATAATTGAGACAGTTCCAAAATGCAACTTTCAGACTTCTGCAGGTAGAAAACAACACATCGTCTTTAACATCAAATTTAAGGACTTTTTAAAGGAATATTCAGGCTCAATTCCCTGAAATTCAAGGACAGCATGATTTGAACACTGAACACAGTTCATTCCTGTCACATGACATCGTGTGATGTAGCGTTTGATACGATGACAGTACATTAACACATTTTAAGTAAACTTACTTTATTGCCAAAGAGTTAGAATTAGTATCCATTTTCAAAAACGTTCAAGGCCTTGACCCCACCTCCTTAAGATCACAAGCTTTTAATGATTTCAAGGATCCACTGGAATAATATATATATATTTTTTTTTAACTGAAAACAAATGTACAGACAATTCAATTTGTTTCGTTTTCCTGAACATTCTTAAGCCTAAAATTCAAAGACCCAGGCCCATTTCTTTCAAATTCAAGGACCATCATTGTTTGCGGGAGATACAGAATACATCATCTTATTTGAATCACCAATTCTAATATTCAATTTTGTTAGTTCCGGTGACCAAAAATATGTATTTCTAGAAGTCTGGGGCTAACTTGTTTCTTTAGCCTATTTCGGGGAATTATTTTCATCATCAGACATTATGATCAGATTCTTAATTTGTCGGACTTTAACAGATGTTTTCTGGTCAAAATCAGGTACATATTGGCTAACAGAAACACTGCTGTATACCCTTCCATAATGCAGCTTCCATCACTCTCACTAGAGCACTGTACCTTGATGAGCAGGGACTCGTCGGAGGTCTCCATGGTCCTCCTGGAGGCCTGCAGCTGAGCCTGAAGCTGGGCAGCCTGGACTCTGGAGTGCTGTAGCTGGGTGCTGAGCAGCTCCAGCTGGGTGTGGAGCTGAAGGTTCTGGGCCCGGGTCTGCTGGTACAGGACCCTGCTCTGCTCCAGCTGAGCTCCACTCTGACAGAGCTGCATCTCAGCCTGGTCTCTCTGAGTTTGGAGGAGACCGGCTTGGCTCCGGGCGCGATCCAGCTCCTCTTTGGTCTGGTCCAGTTGGTTCTGGATCTGCTGGAGTTTAGTGGCGAGCTGCTCCTGAGATGAGAGCATGGTGGAGGAGATCTGAGAGGAGACTTTGAGGAGCTGACCTCGGGTCTGCTGCAGGGACTCCAGCTGGGAGAAGGAAGAACAAGATGAGACAAGTTGGGACTAGTCGCTTGATGTGCTCTCACATTAAAGACTCTGAAAGCCTCTAGTTTGGTATAGTTCCTGTCATGATCTTGGTTTTTTTTCGGAGCAAGATGAGGGCCTGTCACAAACACAACAAAAATATGAACATGACTTCAATCATTCTTTTCGTTATTGACTTATATGAACATGCTGCAATGTGTTAAAAATATTGTATATTAATACGATGTATAAACGTCACTCCCTTATTTGTACAATACCAACTTATTGTACGGTATATGAGCACGACCTCAAACATTTTTATTTATTTATCCTACAATATATCAACCTGACCTGGATGTTGTTCACTTATTGTATGATATATGGACATGACCTTGATAATTCTTGATTAGAAAAACGTATCTTACAAAAATAACGCACATTTTAAATAAATCCCAAAACGGGTGTAATTTTTAGGCTTTCGTTTAATCGTTTGTATAAACATGACCATTCATTTTTACATTTACGATTTATCGTACCATATATGGACACGACCTACATTTTTTTTTTACATTAACATCTTATTGTACAGTACATATAAACATAACTTGGCCAGAATAAACAGCAGGGTATACTCATCTTCTTTGGTTGTTTGGAATATGTAAAAAAAAAAAAGAAAGAAAATACATCACATTCAAGCTCTGAATCTAAATGAAAAGTGAATTGCTCTCAATATAGGTCATTGTTGGAATGGATTTAGATTCATGATAGGGATGTTTTTGTTCCAAAAGTGTCAATATTTCTAACACATTGCAGCATTCTAGTGTTTGAGCACTCCGTGTGCATGGATTTAAGGGCACTTGTACAACCACTATGGCACTTTCACATTGGCTTCATTTCTTCAGATCCAGAGACCTTTTCCCTTTTCATACACTTTATGGGTCCACTTCCTTTCTAAGTTATCAGGTAACCCCAAAGGTTACAGCAGTACAAGGAAGTCAAAACAGCACTATCTTAACTAACAGCAGTAATTCATATGTTATTATCAGCTGTCGGAGAGATGAGGCTATAGGAGGTAGAACAATGGTGTAGTTGACGTTTATAAGGACAAAAAGAGGAAAGAAAACAGATGAAAAGGGAACAACACAAACCCTAAGCACGTAGATGGGGAGAGAAATGGAGAGCAGACTGACATACTGGGGGTTTTCCAGTGGCGTCACATTCTTCTAACGTAATGATGTGAGAGTGAAGCTTATCACAAAAATCATTAAGTCAAGAGCAAGAACAACTTAAAGCTTTACATGTTCTTGAAGCTGATATACAAACATCAGGTTCTTATTTGTATCAAGTGTCTCTACTCTCACATGTCTCCATGCTTTAATGTTCAAAAAGCTCTTTATGTCTCTCATACTGCCTGTGCTGCAGCACCTCTTTACACCCTCTGTCTGAAACCAGAGCCCAGTCTGCTCTGATTGGTTAGCTGGCCGGCTCTCTGTTGTGATTGGTCAACCGCTTAGAGATGTCCCGCCTCTTAGATATCATGTACGTTGTGTTGGAGCGCTATTCAATAGAAGTGCGAGTGTTACATAGTGATGTCACAATGTTATAGAATTAAAAAAAGGAGTCCAATGGAGGCGTTTCAGGCAGGGGGGAGTGTGGGGGAGAGAAACTCAGGGGTTTTAGCCTTTGCAGACCATTTACATGCACTACAACCTACAGAACACACTACAGGAAAGGGAAAAACCTCAAAAAAAGAATAGGGCCTTTGATGCATTATGTGGAGGCCGAGGACAGCATGTATGAAGCCCCACTCCCTGATGTACCTCCTTGCTGTGCTGCTCCCTCTCCTGCTCCAGCTCCTGCTCTAAAGACGTGACCATGCTCTGCAGCCCGGCCTCCAACTGCAGCTTCAGAGCCAGCTCCTCCTCCAGCTCGCACAGCCGAACCTCCTACACACACACACACACACACACACACACACACACACACACACACACAACACACACACACACCACATCACACACACACTCACACACACACACACACACAACACCCACACACACACACACACACACACACACAACATCATCCACACACACACACACACACCACACACACACACACACACACACACACACACACACAGCACACACACACACACACACACACACACCACATACACACACACCACACACACACACACACACACACACACACACACACACACACACACACACACACACACACACACACACACACACACACACACACACCACACACACACCACACACAGACAGAAATGACTGGCAGTAGTAGTAACAAAAATGTCCACCTCAACAGGAAAGAAAATACATTTGCCCTGCACTGTTTTGCTTCCATAAAATGTTGTTTTTCAGACTAGTGCAGAGAAAACGTGCAAAAATGTACATTTAGGTGCATATCTTTTTCAAATGTGATTATTTGCCTATGCAGATTTTTCTTATTTGCAAAAAAGCAAGCATTAGACATTTATCATTTGTGTATTTAAATATACAATTAAACCTAACAATTAGCATAACTTGTCCTCTATGATGCAAGTTATCTTATGATATATAGTGGTGAACATGTTCTAACTCATTTAAATGTAGTGTCTCCCCTTAACACCAAATTATAAATAATAATAAATGGTGCTTTTGCTTCACCTTCTCTTTTTGATGCAGCTTGGTGGCATGCAGCTCTCTGGTTGAATCCTCACATCGACGTTCAGCTTCCTCAAGTTGTTGCTGTATAGTGTGAAGCTGTTGCTGACAACAC